AGATGAGGCTGCAGAGAGAGAGAGAGAAGAGAGAGACCTGGCCAGGAGGTGACATTCTCAACTGTGTTGACATAATTGTAAAGCCTTAATCAATCCACAGAGAGAAGTTGGTTGTCCATGCACTCATTTCTGCATCCAGGAGCAGGGGTAGTGTACACTTGGTAGTGTACACTAAGGGCAGGACAGAATTGGTGCTTCTGCTGTTTGTTTGATATTGTTTCCAGCTCCTTGCTTTAGATCAACCTGGGAATTGAGCACAATGACACACAGTGCAGTCCTAATCATGTCTAATGTATTGGAGGATCACAATATCGCTCGTCATGGGAGGGAGCAGTAGCCTGATCCAAACAGCCGGTGACCAGAGTGGAGGGTCTCTCTTAGTTAGTCTTGTTTTCATTAAAGAGGCATTCATCAGCTTGAGTGGAGTGGAGGGCTCCGGGTTTGGCATTGAGGTGAGGCTCTGTGTGTGTGTGTGTGTGTGTGTGTGTGTGTGTGTGTGTGTGTGTGTGTGTGTGTGTGTGTGTGTGTGTGTGTGTGTGTGTGTGTGTGTGTGTGTGTGTGTGTGTGTGTGTGTGTGTGTGTGTGTGTGTGTGTGAGTGAGTAAATATGTGATGTGATTTCTCGTGTGGCCTGTGAGGGGACGAACTCTTGGGTGTCTCCTTGGGAAGGATCCTGCCTATGGAAAAAGACTAAGTCTCTTGCCAGGCCCATCATCTGTTAAGCTTGACTAAATGTAACTATGTGCTGTAGGTTTGGATCAGCTGTGGGACCCTCCATCTTCTCAGTTCTGAATTAACTATCTGGGATGTGAAACTTTGACAGCTTTGTGAGGATGGACTGCTGTAGCCAGAGAGCACTTCCATAGAGACCAAAGGGCCATTTGTCTATGGAACTGACAGTTTACTGTTAATCCCACAGAACTACACTATGGGCTTTGAGGGGGTGAGGGAGCGGGCGAGAGAGGGGGAGAGAGAGAGGGAGAGGGCGGGAGTGCTCTGAGTTGGGGTTGGGGAGGAAGGAGAGCGCTGAGTTGAGGGAGAGGGATAGAGGGAGCGGGAGAGAGAGAGGGAGCGAGAGGGAGAGCGGGGGAGGGAGTGAGAGGGCGGGAGAGCTCTGAGTTAGTGTTGGGGAGGAGGGAGAGCTTTGAATTGGGGTTGAGGAGATAGAGGGAGAGGTATAGAGATAGGTATAGAGGGAGAGGTATAGAGGGAGGAGGGAGATGATGAGGTGAAAGACTAACTGTGGTGGATTCTTCCTGGGTGTATCTCACTGTCCAGTCTGTCACAGTGGGGAGAAATGAGAAGGGGGTGGTGTACACTGGGTAGTGTACTCTAAGGGCAGGACAGAGTTAGTCACCACCAGTTTGGTGTTTTGACTGAGGTGACATTGTCCACAGTCAGCCACTGGCTGATGTTATGTTCTTGAATGGCTCTCTGTCTTAAGAAAGACTCAGTTTTAGAATGGACTAAGCCCTTGTCTGAGAAGTTTCCACATGGAAAGTGACATTCTCAGAGTTTGCTGAGGGATCTTACGTCAGTAGCTAATTCTGCCTGGCCATGTGCTATAAATTCAGCTAGGCTCTCATGTTGCTTCTCTTCCCTGCACAGTATTTCCTGGAAGTTCTGGAGAGCTGACGTGTTTAGGGTGGGTGCTACTGAGGGGATGGGGGGCAGAAAAGGAAGTACACTCTATTTTTACATATTTGGAGAAAAAATACTTTGAAATCGCCCTCCTTGTCTTTTTATTTTTTTCAAATCAATCTAGATGTTTCCTTTTTCTGTGAAGCCTGGACCATTGCTTAATTGTACATCTGAGGCGATTAGTCTAGCTTGTAGTTGGTGTGCTGCCCAGTCATGCGATTAATTGAACCCTGTTCTAGTGAATTGAGTTAAACTCAGGGAGAATGACTGCCCCCTCTCATTGAAGCCACAAAGTTCAAGGCCAACCATGGTACTGCAGGCATTGTTTGCAAAAAACAGGATCCTCCATTCATAGTGAATGGGAAAATGGCAATCTTCGTGCTCAATCTTAGTGTTAAATAAAAAGACAATCATAGTACCAATAATTGCTTCTATTACACCTGATGTATGTCCTATAACCAATTATCTTTTAAATCGCACACAGAAGAAGTTATAAGGATAATTGAGTAGCTAATGGCAGCCTGCAGTACCCCGGTCAGCCTTCAACTTGAGATACTCAATGAGAGGGGGCAGCACCGAGTCAGCCTGCAACATCTATTCCTGGAGTAGCTCAAACTGTGCATGTTATGTCTACATAAATCTCCCGCACGAGACGCCATCTTAACCGACTTCTTTGGCTTCAAATGCACTATTGAGTCTTCATATTGGAATGAATTGTGTCACGTGATCGATGGCTTTGTCCATTCATATATACAGTCATTGGTTAAACTTGATTTAAGTCCTCTGTAGAAACAAAGAACTGGGGAGCTTTGGTATGTTTATTTAAAAATATATATTTCACCTTTACTTAACCAGGTAAGCCAATTGAGAACAAGTTCTCATTTACAACTGCGACCTGGCCAAGATAAAGCAAAGCAGTGTGATTAAAAACAACAACACAGAGTTACATATGGGCTAAACAAAATATAAAGTCAAAAATACAACAGAAAATATATATACAGTGTGTGCGAATGTAGTAAGTTATGGAGGTAAGGCAATAAATAGGCCATAGTGCAAAATAGTTACAATTTCGTATTAACACTGGAATGATAGATGTGCAAAAGGAGATGTGCAAATAATAATAATAATAATAATATGCCATTTAGCAGACGCTTTTATCCAAAGCGACTTACAGTCATGTGTGCATAAATTTTTACATATGGGTGGTCCCGGGGATCGAACCCACTACCCTGGCGTTACAAGCGCCGTGCTCTACCAGCTGAGCTACAGAGGACCACGAGATACTGGGGTGCAAATTAGCAAAATAAATAACAATATGGGGATGAGGTAGTTGGGTGGGCTAATTTAAGAATGGCTGTGTACAGGTGCAGTGATCGGTAAGCTGCTCTGACAACTGACGCTTAAAGTCAGGTTGCGATAGTATAGAAGTGGCCTGGTCCTCAGATGTCAGAGCAGATCCATATGTCTCTGATTACCCACTGGGATTCAATCAACACAGCCACACTGAAGGAGCTGATGTGGGGCTGGTGTTGTGCAAGCCATGTCCAATCAGACAGTAGGACAAACGTAGTAGCGATGTTGGATGACATCTACATTGTGATGCATGAGTCTAATGGAGCAGCCATGTTAGAATTGTTTAAGGCCTTTTGAAATGGCAGGCTTGTGACATGTTACATGTCTCCTTCAATGTCTCATATGTGCTGAATAAGGTTGAACAATTCAGGTAACTTCCCTTTCCAGTAATCCTGATTTGCTTCTTT